TATTGTCCATTGTAATGTTTTTTATTACTTTATAATATAACAAAAAACACAGCTATCAAATTCAACTTCTAAAGTGAACCTCTGCATTGCCCATTAATAGAGAACTTAATCCTTTCATAATAATGACAACAAAGGCACATTTATAACAGTAAGAGATACTTTACTGCATACCTTATTTTTCTTTCCCACTCCAATCTTCTCATGGTGGCCATTTTCACTAAGGGCAGATGAACTAATCTCCCTTTACTTCCTGGTACTCTGCCTAGACCTCTGGGTCTGCCTCCTGGAGCATGTGGCAGGAAATTCCCAGGATACATTTGTGAGGCCAGGGTTACATCACCAGTGCCTCACTGAAACAAGAAGTGGGAAAACGGTAATCACAAGTAAAAGTGAAAAAAAATTTTTTTGAAAGGAGGGAAAGGTCCACCTTAAAAGCTAAGACTATCTTTGGAGAAAAAAATGTGCATTTATATATTTTTCCCACAGGAGCCTGGAAAGCATTGCACCCATGATCAGTAGTGTGCAATATCAGGCTCCTGCAGACATGTCCTCTGGTTTTCAGCCCTGTCCTGCTGCACAGAGAAGAAAGACGAAAGCAGTATTTCAAATCCCCAGATCGCTGGAGCGGCTAGAGGGACACTGACAGCTCAGTATCGCTGGAGGAAAGTAAAGTCGGGAGGGGAGGGGGGGGGGGGGGGGGGTTGGTATTGAGGGTGTACAGTGCTCAGCTTTACATTTTTTCTGTAAAGGTGCCCTAACACTTTAAGCAAACCTGTAAGGGTCTGCGTTGTTGAGTTTTGGGCTTGCCCCAATAGTTATTACAATTTGACATCAGTTTAAGATCATTCAGAATTCCTTGACAGGTGCCCCTGAAGCAGTATTAAACCCAGAACCAACAATGTAAATATATTGCCTGTGATGGAGGTGTAGGTGGGACAGAACACACACGGAGAGCAGTGGGACACACAAGGCTTTTATTGAGTGATTCTGAGTATAGCAAGGTTCTGGCAAAACAAAATTTAAGTCTGTACCACAGGGTGGGGAATCCAACAAAGATCACTGAGTTCTGGTAGGCAACAAGGGGGGTTAGTCTGTAGCACTGTCTGGGCCCACAACAGGGAGGCGGGAAAATATTAAGTCCAGGTTGGGGCGCAGCAGGGAGGCAGCCTCTGGCAGGTAATGGGTTAAGTCCAGGTGGGCCCACAACAGTGAGGCAGCCTCTGGCAGGCAATGGGTTAAGTCCAGATGGGCACACAACAGGGAGGCAGGTTCTGGCAGGCAATGGGTTAAGTCCAGATGGGCACCAACAGGGAGGCAGGTTCTGGCGAGCAATGGGTTAAGTCCAGGTGGGCACACAACAGGGAGGCAGCCTCTGGCAGGCAATGGGTTAAGTCCAGGTGGGCACACGGCAAGTAGGCAGACTCTGGAAGGCAATGTGTTAAGTCCAGGTGGGCACACAACAGGGAGGCAGGTTCTGGCGGGCAATGGGTTAAGTCCAGGCTGGTGGGCAATGGGTTAAGTCCAGGCGGGCATACAACAGGGAGGCAACCTCTGGCAGGCAATGGGTTAAGTCCAGGTGGGCACACGGCAAGGAGGCAGACTCTGGCAAGCAATGGGTTAAGTCCAGGTGGGCACACAACAGGGAGGCAGACTCTAGTAGGCAATGGGTTAAGTCCAGGTGGGCACACGGCAGGGAGGCAGACTCTGGCAGGCAATGGGTTAAGTCCTAGTTGGCACACAACAGGGAGGTAGAACTCTGGTGGGCAAGGATCAAGCCCAGGTTGGGTCCTCAGCGTAAGGGGTGGCACACAGCAGGGAGGCAGAGCAGAGAGGGTTAAGTCCTTGGCACAGGGTAGCAATTCAGGGACTCACCAGCCAGCAGTGGCCCCAGCAGAGGAAGTCTAGGCAGATAGGCACCAACTCCTCACGGGTCTTCAGAGGACTGTGTGTCCTGGCCGCAGCTTCAAGACCACACAGGCAATGTAGAACCACAAGTTCCAGCAGTGCACAAAGCAAAGCACAATTCAATGCATCTCCTAGCAAGGCCTGCAGCCAGGAGCGGCTCTGTACATCCTGACTAAAGCTCTGCCCATTCTTCCCCCATAGGGACATTATATTGTTCTTTCAATTTGACCAAGCCCCCGATGCCTACACGTCTGGCTTTTCACATCCACAGCACACCATGCTGTCTGTACCCTTGCTGAGATGAACCTCATCTCCCACCCCCTGTGGGGCACAGACTCCAAGATTTAACTAAGTAGTCAAGCTGACTGCTTGACACACTTGTTCATTTCAACAAACAGCACAAAAATAAAATAATATTTTCTGCTCTCCATCACATTGCCGTTTACCAATCATTAGATGTGAAGGCTGCATTAGTTTTCTTTTTTTAGGCTTTTTCCTGCTCTGTTTTCACGTGATGATCCAGCCAGTACCACACCTCCTGTATTAGAGTGCCTCCACTCTGGATAAAGAAGCACAGGGGGCAGATTTGGACAGCAGCATTGTCAGTCTGAGAAGAGGGGAATGTTAGATGTACTAGCAGATTTAAATGCAGTAACAAATTGAAGCCAAACTCCAGCTAATACTTTCTAATCAGTTACTGCAAACAGTTTTTTCTCTTTTTGGATAAAGGTTTTACATGAATAAATAAAAGCTGATCATTTTAAACACAGCTGCCAGTGTTAAAGGGTTTTTCTCAACTCTGTAACTGCAAACCTTTTTTAATTCAGAAACAACAGACTTAGTGGCTGGATCACAAAATGAAAATAAATGAAAGAAAGCCTAAAAATTAAAACTAAAGCAGCCATCACATCTACAAATTGGTTAGCTGCAAAATAATATAAATCATGGGTCTCCAAACCTTCTAAGCAAAGGGCCAGTTTACTGGCTTTCAGAATTTAAGGGGGCCAGACTGTGACCATTGGGAGTAGAAATTGTCCTGCTTCATTAGGAGTAAACAATGCATCTTTGGCATTAGGGGAGGAATAGCGCCCTATTCTTGGTGTAAGTTGGAGAAATAGTGCCTCATCGTTGGTGTCAGTGGATAGAATAGTGCCCCGTTGTTGGTGTCAGTGGGAGGGATAGTGCCCCATGGTTTGTTTCAGTGAGAGGAATAGTGCCCAACTGTTGGTGTAAATGGGAGGAACAGCAATCCAACATGGGTGTGAAAGGGAGGAACAGTGACCCAGCGTTGGTGTGAATGGAATGAACAGTGCTCCCAACTGTTGGTGTGAATGGAGGAACAGTGATCCAACGTTGGTGTGAATGGGAGAAACACTGCCATATCATTTGGTGTGAATGGAACAGTGCCCCATCGTTGGCATGAATGGGAGGAACAGTGCCCCATTGTTAGTGTGAATGGGAGGAACAGTGCCCCTTCGTTAGTGTGAATGGGAGGAACAGTGCCCCATCGTTGGTGTGAATGGGTGGAACAGTGCCCCATCGTTGGTGTAAATGGGTGGAACAGTGATCCAACGTTGGTGTGAATAGGAGAAACAGTGCCATATCATTGGTGTGAATGGGAGGAACAGTGCCCCATCGTTGGCATGAATAGGAGGAACAGTGCCCCATCGTTGGTGTGAATGGGAGGAACAGTGATCCAACGTTGCTGTGAATGGGAGGAACAGTGAACCAATGTTGGTGTGAATGGGAGAAACAGTGCCCCATCATTGGTGTGAATGGGAGGAACAGTGCCCCATCATTGGTGTGAATTGGAGGAACAGTGCCCCATCGTTTGGCGTGAATGGGAGGAACAGTGATCCAACGTTGGTGTGAATGGGATGAACAGTGCCCAATTGTTGGTGTGAATGGGAGGAACAGTGATCCAACGTTGGTGTGAATGGGAGGAACAGTGCCCCATCGTTGGTGTGAATGGGAGGAACAGTGCTCCATCATTGGTGGGAATGGGAGGAACAGTGACCCAACATTGTTGTGAATGGGGGAAACAGTGCCCCATCGTTGGTGGGAATGGGAGGAAGTGTTCCAACGTTGGTGTGAATGGGAGGAACAGTGCCCCATCGTTGGTGGGAATGAGAGGAACAGTAACCCAACGTTGGTGTGAATGGGATGAACAGTGATTCAACGGTAGTGTGAATGGGAGGAACAGTGCCCCATCGTTGGCATGAATGGGAGGAACAGTGACCCAATGTTGGCGTAACTGGGAGGAACAGTGGACCCAACGTTTGGTGTGAATGGGATGAACAATGCCCCATCGTTGGTATCAATGAGAGGAATAGTGACTGTTGTTGATGTCAGTAGAAGGAATTATGCTCCCTTGTTGGTGTCAGTGGGAGGAATAGTGTCTTGTATCTGTGGAAGAAAAAATGCCCCAAGGCCCGGATAAGGGCAAATAAAGGGCCACATCCGTCCCCTGGGCCGTAGTTTAGAGACCACTGTAATAAATGCTTGCTTTTTGTTAAATACTGCTTTAAAGGTCACTTGACCTCTTTCTGCCCTGCATTTCACCTGCTTTAAGTTGGTTTGCATTCCCAAAGACATGTAATGGTTATCAGGCCCGAATCTAGGGGTGTGGGCTGTGCTGTACAAAATTTTTTTGTGACCCCTCCCTCCCCCCCAAAAAAATCAGACTTTCAGGAGGCAGGAGTATAACCCCTTGAATGCCTGGCAAATGTTCCTGTACAGCTCTCTGAAAAGCGATCTGCCACAGATTGCTTTTGCAGAGGGGCTGTAAGGGCTGTCACAGGTGTGAACAACCTCTAAAGATTCTGTTAGCTTTATGCCATCATTTTATGGGTAGAAAACCTTCATTCTTGTGTCTTGTTTATCATTGTGTCTTTACCATCCATGCTATTAAAATGATGGTCAGTAGGCAGTGCAAACTGACATTCAGATCTCACTGTTTACAAGGAGCTGCTTTGAGACAGAAGTACATATAAATACGTTTGGAGGATATATATCACAAGAATGATGTTTTATTGATGGTGTCACAGTGAGTGATTTCTTTACTACAATATTAGTCTATGCTCTTTCCCGAGTAGGGCAGACCTGTTCATGCAGAGGATGTATAAACATAGAATGTCGTCTGGCACATGACCTGACGGGGAAGTCAGAAGAATATAAGAAGAAGTTCTGGAAAGATTTTGCTAAGGACTTAGAAGGTATGTAACTTGTTTGCATGATGAACCAGGATACCTGACTCATTTATAAAGTGCAAGTTTATGCTGAAAAAATCCCCTCCAGGTCAATTATGTACACTGCAAGAAAAAGCCAAAACCTTTCATTTTGATCAGTAAATTGTTTAGTGGAAAATTGTTTGAAAGAAATACCTTTTTTTTACTTAGATGGTATCTTTTTGCTGTTTTTAATGAGTGTTAAATGAGTGTTGTTCAGGCTATTTTTTTCCCACATGAATGCTCTATTATTATGGGCAGTAGCTATGGGCTGATATCTTGTGGCCATAATACCACATTATGGCCACTAGATGGGGCTGATGAGCATAGGACATAAGTCTTTGTAACAATAGGTACAATGTAACATTTCTTGGGAATATTAGATGGGATTGGCAAATAAATGTTATTATTGGTTTCATTTATTTGCTAATTCCCTCTAGCATTCTCTAGAATTGTAAAACATTGGTGTACTTTTTTCTTGACACTCGTTTCCACCTGAGCCCCCTAATGGATACAGTGGGGTACTATAATACATTTTTAAGGGGATCTAAACTGACAAAGTAAAAAAGTGCAAACAGGCAAGCTTGATTGCAGAAGAGACAAAATAAACTTACTTGCCTGTTGACAATCTCCTTAACACTGAGTTGTATGTGTGCACTGTACATTACCTACATACCTTGGTTCCAGAATGGGTGAACTCCCGCGTGCATGCTATGTCATCCTGCACCCGCTGTCAAAACAGATGAATACGCCACATTCAGAAAAAACCTTATATATAACATAATATAATTCACACGGTGGTGTTAACATGCTTTTATTAGTTCAGTCAATACAAAACTGGTATTTCCATTAGAGGTGGAGTTTGGTGGGCTGTGTCAGCATCTATCCAGCATCCACCCAAACGTAACTATCGGTTTTGCAAATGTAGTATCCTCCTAGATAGATAGGGGGTGCTAGAGGTAATTTTTAGTAAGAAGGGCTGAGTAGCAGCCCAGGTGAAATAGTCAGAGGGGTCAAATTTCAGTCAGGGTTGAGAAGCTCTGCAGATCAGCTCTGTGGAACTTCCCCCTGCTCTAGAATTTTGGAGAAGATTCTAGAAGCAGTGAGCAGGAGTGAGGAGTGGCTGGTCTGGTCTCTCAAGGGATCCTGGCCAATCCCCAACAGGAGGCTTGGCATGGGGCCAGGACAGACCTTAAGAGTGTTTGAAGTTGCGCAGTAGCAGGGAGAGTTCGGGTAAAAGATGGAGAAGTGAGAGGCTGGAGAGAAGGAGCCTGGGAGGGAGCCCGGATAGTAAAGGCTCACCTACAGGCAGCGGTGATGGAAAGGAGGAAAGCTCAGGACCTCATCGGCCCCCAGAGTGAGGACCATGTGTGCAGCCGGAAGGAGTGGCCCAGCTAGAAGGCCTGAGAGCAGCCACCGGCCCATCAGCTCAGAGACCTGCACCCCCTGGGCCAGTAAGGGGAGGGAGCACTCTAGTGGGAAACTGGATTATCTTGCTACCTGGGACTGTCTTACCCTTAAAGTGACAGGCACTGGATCCCCTGCCCAGGGATTCACCCAGTACAGCTGGAAGAAGGAGTATCTGGGGTCTGGGGTGGTACACCAGGAGATGCTGGCTAGCTCTCCAAGAAGAGCATTTTGCTGTTTAAAGAGACTTGTACAGGAAGTTGTTTTCTGTTGCTGTCTCTTGGGCATCCCATACACCCCATACCCCATCCAAGTTCAATTCCCCTAGTAAAATCACAAAAACAAGCTCAAGGACTGGCTACTGTTTAATGGATGCAAGTCTGTGTGAAGGAACTGCATGTTGCCTGGCTGTGCAGGACTATAGGGGACCCAAACTTCAGCAACTCCTAAGGGGGTAGTGCTACACATAGAATAACCCAAATGCATTTCCAGTAGAAATAATACATTTCGTTCGTTTGTTCTATGCTAACTGTATGGGTGTGACTGGTACTCATGTTATCTGGATTCATTTTATCCAGAGGCCAAGGAAATCACACCAGAGACGGAGAAGGATACCCTCTCATTAATATCGGGTAAGAAAAGCATTGCAGCGATGTTATACACAGTTATCATTTATGCAGTATAGAGGTCAAGAGACGTATATTATTCCTTTTTTTCCGATTTTTATTTTTTGGTAAATGTGATCAGCTTAAAGTGGAACATTCCTTGCAACATATGGTATGTCCTGTCTTCATGAAATTATTCATATCTGATTGTTTGCACTGCACATTAAGTACAGTATACAATTTCTGCATCTGCTGAGATCAATGAGCTCCCATATGTGCCCAAGAGTGACATCATCTCGGCCTTTAAAGCAGAGATAAATTCCACTGCAGGGTAGGTGTGCAGATGTCCACAGCAACCTTATACATTATGGCACATTTACCTCCTAAGGTGAACTCTTCCAGCAATGCAATGTCTGCAACTTCCCTCATCACTTCGTACCAACTGTGAAGCATGGTGGTGGGAAAGTTATGCAAAATTACGTCACCACGTGCCGGAAGTGACGTGATGCCCCCTTAACAACACTGCCTTTTCTTTGACAGCCAAATGGACTTTTTGAATAGGAGTACTTTGCTGCAACCACAAGCCTGGCATTTGATTTGTGGTTGTGTCACAGCCCTATTCACTTGACTGGGTAGCATTCAGTGGCGGTACTGCCCACTGATTGCGACAGGTGGATCATTTTTGCTGTATCGTAGCATATGTACAACCTTGACTGGCTGCCTTTGCAACTTAACCCATTTACAACTGCTGTGTTCATCTATCTGGTGGCATGGCAGTTGGGCCTTATATACTGTATATCACTATGTAGTTTTAGGGCACACTTACTCAGCACCCCCCCAAGCTGTGATTGACTGCTAACGCTCACATATCTTTGACTAGGAGCCAATGGGATGGGCTCCTGATGATGTCAGCACTGTGCAGCCAATTAGGGTTCAGAAAGATCAGGTGTTCTCCTACCAGCTTTGGGAGTCAGATCCCATTTAAAGAACATAAAGGAGTTAAAGGGGCAGTAGAGGGTGATAAAACTACAACTGTCTATTTTTACTGCCCTGAACTGCAAGTGTACACTAATCCATAGTTAGATGGGACGAAAGGTGTAGGTGTGGGGGGAGGGGGAAGCTTGGAGTTCAGTTTTTAAAATCTTTGTAATCTAATGCTTGATTTTTTTATACCTCTTCTCTAGGCATTTATAAACGTTTTACTAAAGTGTTGAAGAGCATTGCTAGGCGCCTTACACATTTTTTTCACTTCTAAAGGTACTTGTAATACCAGTACGGTGATAAGGAACATTGCTGTATGCCTTGCAGAATGGAAATGGGGAACCACAAATAACTTTCTCTACAAATGGAAGAGTGAGTATTGATGGGCAATGTTTGTTTGATTCAACCTAAGAAAAAGCTTAAACCTCAGAAACCTTTACTAGTTAATCCAGTGGACGGCCAAACCCCTTAATAAAGTATGATTGAACTGGCTCCAGCTTCTTCTCGACAACCCCTCAAGACCAATGAGCCTATTATGTCGCTCAATATTCCTCCAAAGGATGAGATCCTCCTCAGCAGTAGCGTTGGGACTCCCTCCTCCTCTGATGGGTAGGTATCCAATAGTGACTCCTGATGCTTGGACAAGTGACACTCCGTACACATCCCCAGTAAAGCAAAAAATCCAATATAGTGTAAACCCGTTTATTTATAAAAATAATACATAAAATAATCCTACTCACATTCAAATAGATGTAAATCAGCATTTACACCACACTATGGGTGTACTGCATGTGTGGGTAATGCTGGGTGCACCAAGATGGTGCCCGCGCCAGATCTGACATCACTACGTGTGCCGCTCAAGCCCCTCCTACTGGCATATCTACGCGTTACGTCACGATTAATGCACATGACTTCCTCAGGATAACCGTTTTTTTGGTGCCCAGGTTGTGGCATTTTAGTGCTGGCTGCTTAACAGTCTCTTACATATAATAGCGCAGGAGTATCTTTTCATTTTCGTACACAGATGTCCATGCAAGCTGCACATAAAATCTCTAAAAATAGTGCAGGAACCTTTTCAAAATCAGTGCCACACCGCAAAGTCAGAGTCGCACCGAATTAAATGGTTCTATAGGCACAAATAGGGTGCAACTTCTCATGCAATTTTGAAATGTCAAATCGCATGACAAATCGCATTGGTGTGAACGGGGACTAATGCCAATCTTGTAGGATTCAGAAAAAATTGCAGCTAGGTTAACCATTTACTATCAAAAGTTTACGTATCCAATTTAGAGCGTGTGGAACAAGATATACAGGTCAACAATCAGCACTTAATTGTAAGTCTCCTATTGAGGTCAGTTCACAACTGGATGTTCGGTGTGAAATGTCTTCTGCTTTGTGGGGGGTGTATTGGGAAATGGATCCTCTTGGTGTATACGGCAATTTTCATGTCAGATAGAAGACAGAGAAGTGGTAGTTATTGGGAACCATTGATGGGTGGAGGTAGGCCATATCCTCTGATTAAGAGTTGTACAAAGTGAGGATGGGGTGGAGGGGGTGCAAATAAAATAAAGGAGAGAACTGAGAAAAAGAAATGAGGGGAAAAATGGTGAGGAAGGAGAAGGAAAAATGGGGTCAATGGGAAAAGGGAGGGGAGGGAGAGGGGATAAAGGGAGGATGATTTCCTCTCAACACCCCAAGGAGCAGGCCATGGACTGTGATTTATTGGTTAGGAATCCCATGTCTGGTTGTGGCTGGGCATATGTTATTCAGGGTTGTCAGATGTGTAGGAACTTTGTATGAGAATCTGGGAATTTTCGAAAATTTCTTGATTAACAATATGCCAGTCATCTTCTGGAGAAGATACAGGGGTGCTTTTTCCAAACATTTCTACCACTTGTTTGACTTGTTTAATTCTTGAAAGCTATAGGTGCCTTTGGAATTGAGTCAATTGTTGGAACTGTGCAGGAAAATGCATGAAGGTCAACACCAAGGAGGAACTATGAATTATGCCAAAAGTGTATAAAATGATTGGTGTTGATTATTTTGCTGGAAAATGTTATTCTCTGTCATGTTTGTAAGGAATATTTCAGCAAAGGGCATAGATGGGTAGGTCTATCTGAGTGGAGAGTCTATGGTAAGGAGCTTAGGAGGATTGGGTGCAGGGTCGGGACAAGGAATGGGTGGGGGACGGGTGGGAGGTGCGGCTGCCCTGGGCACAATAGTATACTGTAGGGATGGAGGCACTTCTTTCTGTTACAAGGCTGACAGGAGTAGTGACAACAGCATTGATTATGAAAAGTGAGTATCTGCTCGGCCTAGGATCTCCTAAGCTTGCACATCAGGATGCAGGAGGGGGGGGGGGCAGTTTGGCATTTTTGCCCTGGGCAGTGGATGGCCTTGTCCTTTCACTGACTGGGTGTCAAGTATTTCTAGGCAAAGTCCAAGTCTTGCATCTAGCTGTAAGAATCGTATCTTTTCAATATGGAGTGAACTAGTCTGTGCATAGTGTGAAGGGTGTGGGAGGGGAAAAGACCTGAAGACACAAAAATAATTAATAACTTGTGGAGAAAGCACAATGTTCTACAACTGGATGTATTGTTTTTTATAATTGTAAGCAATTGGGTTTATTTTGTGATGTCAGTGCATATCTAACCCTCCTTGAAGAAAATCCACTAAGTCTGGTAGAATCAGTTTCTGTAGAAGGCTATTTATTCCTCATGTTTACAGTTCTTAAAGTGAAGAACCCTTTCTATATATGAAAGTCAAACCTCTGTTGTTCCAGTATCAAAGTATACTCTTGTGTCCCTTCTGGTGACCATAAAGTGACTCTATCTTCACCCCCCAAAAAATTTGGCCAAAGCAGATTGCTGCAAATGAGGAGATATTATATTTACCTGCCTGGAGACTCGTTTCTCCTACCTGTTTAAGCGTTGCATCCTCCAACAGACTGAAGAATTTTACAATTCCAGGAGTGTCAGATGCCTATGTCTATGATTCCATCTCTTGGCCTTGTCACAACTTCTGTAGTAATGTAGGGGTCAGAAGACAGAACCCCAACCCACAGTGAAAGACATGGACAAATTTAAAACATTTAAAAGAAATGAATTGATTACATTTTAATGACTTGACTATATTTTGTATGTTTTTATATATTAATTGTTTTAGGTAATATCCCACTCTCCAGTAAAGAGCACATCTCTTTAGTTGATGCTGGCCTGGATATCAATATTGCATTTCCACTAATGTTACCTCCTCATCGCAACATAGACCTCATACTGTCTTTTGACTTCAGTGAAGGAGATCCATTCGAGGTAACCATACTCATTTTAATGCAGCACACTCTAAGACAGAAGCTGGCACTTGAAGTTTTTGGTGTCATGCTTTTGGCATTGGTTCCTGCTGCTAGTAGATTTTGGTGTTGGGGATTTGGGATTGGTTTCTGACACTGGCATTTTCTGGTGTTGGGCTTTTGGCATCGCTTCCTGGCACTGGTATTTTTCTGGTTATGGACTTTTGGCATTGGTTGCTGCTGCTGCTGTTGCTGGTAAGTTTTGGTGTCGGGTTTTCAGCATTGATTCATGATGCTGGTGAACTTAGTATTTTCAGTGCTGATAACAAAAGCATGCACAAAACATCTGCTTTCTCTAACCTATCACAGTTACCCCGAGCCTAACATATAACCGAAACTCCTTCTAACTCCGAACCCACACAATCAATCACTAAATATGAATGGTTAATTAAATTTTTTGGTAAATAACAAAGTGTGATGGGTTATAACTTCAATCATGTTTTTATCCTCTGTGTGTGTCCTGTTGCCTTTTGTTCCTGGTACAGAAAGCAACGTTTTTTGCGTTGTTAGAAAAACAGGAATAAACATGACATACAGTGAAGGAAATAAGTATTTGATCCCCTGCTGAATTTGAATGTTTGCCCACTCACAAAGAAATTATCAGTCTAAAAATCAAACGGTAGGTGTATTGTAATACTGAGAGACAGAAAAGCAAAAAAATCAAAAGACATGCATGTCTAACAAATTATGCACTAATTTGCATGTTCATGAGGGAAATAAGTATTCGATCCCCTTCACAAACCATGACTTACTACTTGGTGGCAAATCCTTTGCTGGCAAACACAGAGTTCAGACGTTTCCTGTAGTTGGCCACCAGGTTTGCACACATCTCAGGAGGGATTTTGGCCCACTCCTCTTGGCAGATCCTCTCCAAGTCATTGCGTTTGGCAACTAGAACTTTCAGCTCCCTCCACAGATTTTCAATCGGATTAAGGTCTGGAGACTGGCTAGGCCACTCCAGGACCTTAATGTGCTTCTTCTTGAGCCACTCCTTTGTTGCCTTGGCCATGTGTTTTGGGTCATTGTCATGCTGGAACAGCAATCCACGATCCATTTTCAATGCCCTGGCTGAGGGAAGAAGGTTCTCACCCAAGATTTGATGGTACATTGCCCCGTCCATCGTCCCTTTGATGCGGTGCAGTTGTCCTGTCCCCTTAGCAGAAAAACACACCTAAAGCAGAATGTTTCCACCACCATGTTTGACAGTTGGGATGGTGTTCTTGGGGTCATAGACAGCATTCCTCCTCTTCCAAACACGGCGAGTTGAGTTGATGCCAAAAAGCTTGATTTTGGTCTCATTTGACCACAACACTTTCAACCAGTCCTCCTCTGCATCATTCAGATGTTCAGTGGCAAACTTCAGATGGGCCTGGACATGTGCTTTCTTGAGCAGAGGGACCTTGCGGGCACTGCAAGATTTCAATCCTTGTCGGCGTAGTGTGTTATCAATTGTTTTCTTGGTGACTGTGGTCCCAGCTGCCTGGAGATCATTGACAATATCCTCACGTGTAGTTCTGGGATTATCCTCACTGTTCTCATGATCATTGACACTCCACTGTGATCTTGCATGGTGCACCAGAGCTAGGGAGACTGATAGTTGTTTTGTGTTTCTTCCATTTGCGAATGAATGCACCAACTGTTGTCACCTTCTCACCAAGCTTCTTGGCGATAGTTTGGTAGCCCAGTCCAGCCTTGTGTAGGCCTACAATCTTGTCCCTGAAATCCTTGGACAGCTCTTTGGTCTTTGCCATGGTGGAGAGTTTGGAATCTGATTGTTTGATTGCTCCTGTGGACAGGTGTCTTTTATACAGGTAACAAAATGAGATTAGCAGCACTCCCTTTAAGAGACTGCTATTAATCTCAGCTTACCTGTATGAAAGACACCTGGTAGCCAGAAATCCTGCTGAATGATAGGGGATCAAATACTTATTTCCCTCATGAATAAGAAAATCAGTGCATCATTTGTTAGACATGCATTTCTTTTAAATTTTTTGTTGCTATTCTGTCTCTCAGTGTTACAATACACCTAACATTCAATTTTTAGACTGAACATTTCTTTGTGAGTGGGCAAACATTCAATTTCCTGTTGTAGGGTGGCTACATTTGTTCCCTATGGTCCCAATGTATGTACGAGGGGCATTAAAGTAAAACCGGGACTTTAAATGTTACAGGTATACAAAGGGATGGCGGTACTACACACAGTAGTAAGTGGCAAGTGTGTCCTATTACTGGTAGTCAGTGCACATGTCGCGGCCCAGTCCAGAGACCATAAATCAAGATGGCAGACAACAGTATTAGTGCGTGCATGGAACAGCCCGTGGTGATGAAGTTTCTTGTGAACAAAAGCGGAAAACTGGTGGATATCTACAGAAGACTTCAAGCACAGTGCGGTGATGAGACGCTAAGCTGCAGTAAGACATGTGAATGGTGTAAACGTTTCAAAGATGGCCATACATCATCTGTCAGTGACGATCCCGGCTGTGGTGGTTCCCAGCTCACAGCAGTCATTCATCTGAACATTCAGCGTGCGGAACACCTGATCCTGGATAATTGACACATAACCTGTCCTGAAATTGCACAAGAGACAACTCTTTCTATGGGCACAGTAAACACAATGATGACGAAGTGAAGAAAGCTGTCCTAAAATGGTTCAGGCATACTGACAAATCTTTCTATGCCAAAGCTTTCCAGGCATTAGTTAAACACTGGGATAAGTGTAAAAAGGTATCAGGGGAGTATGTCGAAAGATAAATGCAGATTCCACTCCTTGAATTTTGTTCTTTTATTTTATAAACTCAAAAGTCCCAGTTTTACTTGAACGCCCCTCGTAGTAATTTAGCCATTCTCTCTCACTCCCGAGTTGGAATATGGCCTATGGGATGTACAGTGTGCATAGAGCAGTAGACATGACCGCAACTAATGTGCACTGCTTGCTCCAAAAAAAATGGAAATAGACATTACAAGCAGGCAGAAAAGCAGCAAGAAATGATTTAATGAAAAATAGATTACATGGCCATTAAGTTGTGGATGTGTATGGATTGTTTTTGAAGAATACGGATATAGCTTAGTGTCACTTCTAACCATTACACTATATCTAATGCCAAAACCTATTTTAATTATGGATAGAGAATAGTAAGGATACAATTTTTTGCTATCTGTGTCCCATTATGGAGATTTTCCCTGACATCTTACCTGTCAACAGTAAGTGAGAGAAAACCTCTATAAGTCTAGGTTCACACCTATGCAGGTTGCGTTTCTGCATTGACTTTTGCGTTTTTGCTGAGTTTTTCTTTTACAAAGAATTTTATTGCAGAATACTGTAGATAACATCAGAGAATCAGTCAAAAACAGATGCACTGACCAACAGGAATAAAACATAAAAGATTTTGCTGAGTTTTTGATTCGTTTCACGTTTTAAAAAACAATTTTTTACATTTTTCTTGTTGCTAGGCAGATTTAAAATGCAAAATGCATCAAAAATGCGGAAAAAAATGCAGCAAAAACACAATACATGCTTTTCTGCAGAGTTTCCATTGAAGTCTATAGAAATAAAAATGCAACTTTTTGTGTTCAAAAAAGTCCCTGACCCTTGCCAAAAAACGCACCGGGTGAAAACACACAGGAGTGAACATGTCCCATAGGAAATCATCTTTCTGCAAAATGCTACAGAAAAGCTAGGGTAAAATGAACCTAGGGTAAAATGAGGAAAATCCCCTTTTACCCTAGGTTCACACCTAAGCATTTCCAAAATGCTGCAGAAAAGCATGTATTGTTTTTTTTAGTGCATTTTTGCTATGTTTTTGTGTTTAAATGTGCCTAGCAACAAGAAAAAAAAAAGCAAAACGCAAAAACGTGTCAAAAACTCATCAAAAACGCAAAATGCAATGCAGAAACAGCTCAAACGCAATCTGCATGTGTGAACCTAGACTTAGACAGTTGTCAACTGAACAGTGGATTTTCCATCACTTGTAGCCCTTTTGACAGTAGTCCTCAGGCCAAAAAGAGAAGGAAAATCTCCTGAAAGGGGATACAGATATCACTAACAACCAGAAAGGGTTCTAACCCTTCATCACTCCTTTCAACAACAAAAAAAAGTTTTGGCTTTAGATGCGCTTCATTCTAATCCTGGTTGCAGTAAACCAAAGGACAGTTCTGGGGATGTCTAAAATTCATTCAGTGTGCTATAACGGAAATATTAACTTTTTGTTGAATCAGACACTGAGAAAAACTGCTGAGCAATTTCCCTTTCCGAAGATAAACATAGAAGATAAGGACGAGAAGATTCCATCAAAAAGCTGCTACATTTTTGAGGGAGATGGTGACGGGATACCTGATGTGATGTATTTCCCACTTTTCAACAACCAAACATGCGAAGGTCAGTTTACACCTAGAGAGCTCTGATTAGTTTATTTCTTAGGCCTCATTCACTTGGGCAAGGACATACCATACATGTGAATATATGCATTTATAGGACATTTCATAACCCCTTGATGACCGCCTAATACATATGTGTGTAGGGCCCCCCTGAAGACAGGATGATACCTCCAGAGGCAGGGAGACTTTTCAAAGTTTTGATGTTGAACTTAGAAAGGAGGTAGAAGGAGAGAGGGTGAGGGGTTCCAGATAGCAGCAGCAGATCACTTACAGACTCCTTGGATCCAAAACAAAGAACAGAACCTTTGAGCCAACCTGGGAACACTGCAAGCATGTTTTCAGATTCAGGTGCACCCTCCAAGCGAGTCACCAGGCCCTTCTGAGAGTACAGCCTTCATCCTGGCTCTCTCCAGCAAGGGGCCTCCTCTGGAACTTTTCCCTTTGGTTCAGCTTCCTCCACGCCAGGCAGGACAGTGTCAGGACCACCTCAGAGCAGATAGGCTTCTGGGTCTAAGCACAGAGCTCCCTGCAGCACCACCTCCCTATGCCTCAGCCTGAGGCTAAAGAGTCAGCACATGGCCCGCCCTGCATATTTATATCCTCTCCCAGTATGAACCAATGGCCATGAACCTCTTACTGTGCAGACTAAAAGAAATATAAATATTTATAGCACTGTTTGTGCAACCTCATCTTATGACCTGTGGTATCAGTGACACCTACTGGTGAAAGTAAGAAATGCACAACCCAACTGAGCTTAGGGGAAGGCCAGATATAAATTGTACGATCAGTCTGAGCTGCCTACAGCCCAGCCAAAAACTAAATTGGCATAGTAGCCCCAGTTTAAAACCAGGGAGATACATGTGCGACAACAAAAAGGGTGGGGTTTAATGCCCACATGCCGCACATATGAGTCCCTAGGCGGCCAATATTTTGTGCTGAGAGCACACTCACTGTGTGCTCCCAGCACAAAGAACACTGTGTTCAGGTGAATTCAGTTTAACTGAATTTATAAAAAAATTGAAATCTGTGCATCCAGGGATAGGTTAGATACTCTGAACACATCTAAACATGTGTAAACACATAGAAAAAGATTTATATGTAAATGCATGTACATTTTGAATATAAATGCAAAACAAACCCAAATCAATTCCTCCTGTGTTCAAATAAAACAAATGCAGTAGGCCCATGTGAATGAGGCCTTAGCCTGTTTGGATTACTTACTGTCCATCCTACTAAGAAGTTCATTCTAACTTGTCATATTGACATGTTTAGACATCATGTCACATAAGACAAAGGACAGTCAGGAGAATTCAAGAAAGCAGTACCACATTTCTGGTGGTAATTTCCTTTAAAAGTACTTCAGCTTAATTCTGGCAAGCATTTGCACCAGTTTTGAGAACATTACTGATACAGATGACACATTCAGATAGTTCTGACTACTTCTACTTTAAGACTTACTGCCAATTCGCAGATTAGGGAACCAGCGTAATTAAAGTGGACCTTCACCCTAAATCAGTGTTAATTTTTTTTCTGCCTCTTCTCCCTTTCTATCTCACAATTGGACACAATTTGTTTTATTTTATTTAAATGTAATGGATTGTTGAGCTAAAAAGAACACTTTCATATTTCTCCCGTATGTCAGGATGATATGAGGGTAAGTCCAACATTTGAGTTGCCAACAAAGCAAGATATAGAGGGGAAATTTTCCAATGGGGACACGACACACACTTCCTGTTGAGGTTACAGGACAGGAAACAAAGGAAAATCTCCCTTCAGAATTACAAATGTCATAGAATTACTGATCTTCTCCTACCCTATCCAAAATGGAAGACAAGTTTGCCTTTAGATATACTTAAACTAAGCCATGGTAATGAATAAACCCAAAAGAGCTTCCTTTACATACACTATATTGCCACAAGTATTGGGACACCTCTCCAAATCATTGGATTCAGGTGTTCCAATCAAGTCTATGGCCACAGATGTATAAAATCAAGCACCTAGGCATGCAGACTGCTTCTACAAACATTTGTGAAAGAATGGGTCGCTCTCAGGAGCTCAGTGAATTCAAGTGTGGTACTGTGATAGGTTGCCACCTGTGCAATAAATCCATCCGTGAAATCTCCTTGCTACTAAATATTCCACGGTCAACTGGTATTATAACAAAGTAGAAGCCACTGGGAGCAACAGCAACTCAGCCACCAAGTGGTAGGTCACATAAAGTGATAGAGCGGGGTCAGCGCTTGCTGAAGCGCACAGTGCACAAAAGTCGCCAGCTAAAGACCTCCAAATTTTGTGTGGCCTTCAGATTAGCACAACAACAGTGTGTAGAGAGATTCATGGAATGGGTTTCCATGGTTGAGCAGCTGCATCTAAGCCTTACATCAAGTGCAATGCAAAGTGTCAGATGCAGTGGTGTAAAGCACGCCGCCACTGGACTCTAGAGCAGTAGAGACGTGTTCTCTGGAGTGACAAGTCATGCGTCTCTGTCTGGCATTCCGACGGACATGTCTGGGTTTGGCGGCTGCCAGGAGAACGGTACTTACTTGATTGCATTGTGTCAAGTGTAAAGTTTGGTGGAGGGGGGATTATGGTGTGGGGTTGTTTTTCAGGGGTTGGGCTTGGCCCCTTAGTTCCAGTAAAAGGAACTCTTAAGGTGTCAGCTTTCCAAGATATTTTGGACAATTTCATTCTCCCAACTTTGTAGGAACAGTTTGGGGATGGCCCCTTCCTGTTCCAACATGACTGCGCACCAGTGCACAAAGCAAGGTCCATAAAGACATGGATGAGTGGGTTTGGGGTAAAGCAACTTGACTGACCTGCACAGAGTCCTGACTTCAACTTGATAGAACACCTTTGGGATGAATTAGAGCAGAGACTGCAAACCAGGCCTTCTCATCCAACATCAGTGCCTGACCTCACAAATGCGCTTCTGGAAGAATGGTCAAACCTTCCCATAGACACACTCCTAAACCTTGTGGACAGCCTTCCCAGAAGAGTTGAAGCTGTTAAAGCTGCAAAGGGCGGGCCAACTCAATGTTGAACCCTACGGACTAAGACTGGGATGCCATTAAAGTTCATGTGCGTGTAAAGGCAGTTGTCCCAACATTTTTGGCAATATAGTGTATATGTAATTTGACAATTTGTATTCTGTATCTCTCAGAAATGCAACCTGTTTACCATTGTTAAAATCTCAATATTAGGAATAGTAAATAACATTTGCAGCCTGGATAATATGCCATGGGTAAACATGTTTCTTTTGCTTGCAGGAAAAGTAGATGAAATGAGGGAGAAGTATGCTACCATCCACACCTCCTATGATGAGTCTCAGGTGAAAGATCTCCTAGAGGTATCGAAGAGTAATGTGGAAAAGAACTACACCCAGATACGAGAAAAAATAAAGCAATGTGTTCAGAGGTGTAACCTGAGGAGGGCAGGGGAGGCAGCTGCCTATGGTTTATCGAGTACAAGGGGAACAGTGGAAGAAAAAAGCAAAGATAACTAAAACATCCATGTGTTTATGTTCTGCATGTGGTTTACAATTAAATAGGATGTTTACGCAAGTACCTATGGGTATTTTGTATATTGCATTCTGTTCTGCAAGCTGTTATACAACTTTAATAATTTCATTATCACATATTGTATATCTCTCACCTTGTAGGTTCAGTAGTACGGCGGCAGTAGTAGTAGTAACATAGCCTAAGAAAAGGTCAGCATTCCTTATAAAAATTTAGCTCTTTTGCATGACATGCCTTGACAAAGAGGGCCTACATGCCCTCGAAATGTGGTGTTGGTGATTGGCCTTTTCTTATTCTCTATGGTGTAACAATAACCATAGAAATCTGTGATAACACAAATCCAGTAATGTACCATTAAGGTTTGCAGAGGTGATAATGACCCTGTAGCCAAGAGTTTCTCAGTAGGGTTCAATGGAGCCCTAGGGTTCTTCCAGAGGTTGCTGGGGGTTCCTTGACCAATGAGCAATTTCTACCTCTCAGATAAGTTCCCCACTGACACCATTGATCTTTTTTAGCTATACAACAAATAGGGCAAAAGACAGAAAACGGGTTTCAGTGTAACGCATTTTGTGGATTGGCCGTCTTCTGCCCTACTTGTAACAAGTTGAACAATAAAGACTCTGGACTCAAAAGGATTTTTCATTTGGCACTTTCTTTGACTTCTTACACATGGATTCCTCAACTCAGGTGAATGTTCTCTCCTGGGGGTTGCCTATCTCTGTGGTGAGTAGGCCAATGGGTTTCAAGTGAAGAATTTGTCTACATTCTGATAACCTGTGAAAATCCTTCTCCAGTCCCCTCTACCACTACCTCAAGGAAAATTTGCTTAGCTGTTTTAGTGATGTACATTTATTTTAGTTCTGAATAAAACACACAGTTCAAAGAAGTTTATACTAAGGTTATAGAGTAATTGCGTGCAAGAGTACTAACATTTATGTCATAATATAAAATATGTTGGTGATTAGTATAGCTACTACAAGACTGTTTTACTGACTGCTACACCACCTCTTTCAGCACTTGCTTGTCGTGATGGTGGTTGGGGTTGGACTGGCTTAGATTTTATACTGGAGTCTTGCAATTTGAGATGCTGAAAGAGCCTGGAGAGCTACTCAGGACAATGTAGATAGCTGGGAAATTAATGTTAAAAGTGAATTCCCTGCACTGATTCCCACCTCTTACCTCACAACCAGGGGTGGACTGATCATTTGGAAACTCGGGCACTGCCCGAGGGCCCAGGGTCAGTAGGGGGCCCCATGAGATACCCCTGGTACCTGTTTTCATAGGCTTTTTTGAGTTTGGGTAAGGACAGGGGCCCCATGATCCACTATTGCCCGGGGGCCCCATGAGTTGTCAGTCCGCCCCTGCTCACAACATTTGTCCACAGATGTGGTCCCTATGTAGTACTGTACTGACTGTGCTGACAGCTCTCCTGCTACCTATCATTGATTTATACATGCTTGATGTTAGTGTTACTAAACCAACAACAGTAAAATCAGTCTGAATATGCAGTAAAGCATGTTTGCTATACTTACAGGGGAACCTAAGGGGTTAATCCTCTGCATTGTGTTTGATCCTGTCTTCTCTGATCCTCACCTTTTTCCACAGTCCCCAATCCAGCTGCTGATAGTACAGAGCCCTGAGAAGCACTCTGCACATGCTCAGTTTTGTGTATATTGCTGGAGAGCGTTTTTTTTGGGAGGGTGCATGTGATCGGCACCAAACCACTTGGTGCTGTCTAGGCAGAGGGTCAAGGGTCATGCAACCTCATAGGACAGTCAGACGAGGATGAAAACTCCTCCTACAACATTAACCAGTGCTTAGGTGGATACTGATAGAAGTCACAAGACTGCTATACTGTATATTGCTGATAAGAAAAGGTATTTAGCAGTATTTGTTAAAATTATTGCATTTACATGTTCCATGTACTGTGGTTGACTAGATATATTGAATGCAGGGTCCTGGGTTTAGTAACACTTTAAGATCAGTGACAGTGGACAAGGAGGTCTCTAGAAGGCCCTCATCAAAATGGGCACTATGATCTGTTACAGCCCTGCATGTGTCATTTAAAAAAAAGTCAAGTAGCTGTCCTGAAGTTTCCCCTAAGAAACCTTTAGGCTGCATTCACACCTGAGCGTTTTGTAGCGGGAAGCTCCAAAATCAATATTACTCTATGGAGATGGTTCACATCTCCACTCCAAGTCACCTGAAGCAGAACGCCTAAAGCTCAAAACAGTTTTGGGAAGATGTGCGCATTTTAGGTGCGTTTTTATTCCCATAGAAAAGAATAGAAATGCGTGATTGGCGTGTTTGTGTGTTTTGTGCGATTTTCTGCTCAAATGAAAAATAAAAAATAGTAACAGTATATCATTAAATAAATATAAAATAAATACACATATAAATAAAAATCTTGAAGCGGCTCCGGTCCGCTCTCCTGCAGAGCCCTCTGTGTGCAGGAGAAAGCCAACAATGGCTGGGAAATGCCTGGGGGAAGTGACGTCACCCGTAAACTTACAATGGGGCTTCTGTTGCTGGCTGCTTCTCCTACACACTGCTGCTGACAGCTCAGCCTGGGACTGGACCAGAGCAAACGCAAAATAGGTAAGTATAGCAATCTTTTCTTTACAGGGATAGATAGATTAGGCTTAGAATGCGGGTGGGAGTAGGTTTCCAGTTAGTTAGGTTTTGCCTTTAGTTCCACTTTATTATTTTTATTCAGATTTTAATTAGAATCATTTTCTCTTTTTCAAAACAACATAGAATAGTAACACAAACAGACCATACATACAATATTCGGTGCGCAGGGTGTCACAAAAAAAAAAAAGAAAAAAAAAAAAAAAACCCTGGACAGCTATCATAATAATAACGCTTTGGAGCATACTGTATGAAAATATTTATGGAGAGCCACAGCCGTAAAATGACTTCATCTATAACTGACCATAAAAACATAGCATCTATAAAAAGAAATATCTTGTTTCCCCATACATAGACACCAATACCTAATACAAAAAATGATCCTAATCCCATACGGGAGACATAAAACTCAAGCCATTTTGACCAAATGGCATCTTCCACTTTGACTCAAAGATTCCTGCATACCTGCGCTGTGGAATCACCCTTTCCTACACACAAGAAAATTCTCCAGAAATGTAATTTCCTGCTGCTGTGATTGGCTGACTGTTTTTTTTTCAGAAGTCTGTACAAAGATACACGTTCCAATCTAAGTGACTTAAAGTTGCAGTTACTTTATAAAGGTTCCTGCACTACTTGGATATGACTTTCTTGTGACTTGAGTGCTAGAGTGTAAAATTGAATCGAAGTTGCACTCCAAGGTTGCACTCGAAATCGCACAATTTTGGAGTATATGGGGTGAACGCAGCTCAAAAAACAAAACCCAGGAGTCAGAAAACAACGTGTGTGTGTGATAGATGGCCTCAGCCATAGCTCTGGCCACGCCCTTTGGCGCGTTTCGCCCAGCCCATAGGGGGGCTTGGTCACAGAGGCTTAGGAAACAGACAGCCTGAGAGCTAGATATAGCATCATAGGCCAATTATGCTATATTTAGTTGGCCAATGATGCTATATCTAGTTCTCAAGCTGTCTGTTTCCTAACCCTCTGTAACCAAGCCCCCTATGGGTGGTGCGAAACACGTCAGAGGCATGGCTGGAGCGACGGCTGAGGCCATCTATCACACACGTTGTTTTCTGACTCCTGAGGATTGGTTTGAGTGGCGTTCACCCCCATATACTACACCAAGTCTCTGGAGTAACTTGGGAAGCTGCTCCCTCTTTTTTTCTCTGCCAACAGGGTTCACATAATTATCATTTACATACAGCCTCGAGCAGCTGTTGCACCACAAGTTCCATCAGTGGTTCACATATACTTGTCAGTTTCGTAATGTTGCAATGCCTCATGGGAAATGTTGCACTAGTGCCTACCTCTGCACTAGTTGAGGAACGGAGCCTAAAGGGATGCAGACACTGCAGCTTTCCTTTTTTAGATCACTTGAGATTTGTTCGGGTGATTATAATGAGTGATCACCCTCCCATTCAGGAATCAATCTTGAAAGCACATAGTAAAACAAACAGCTACTTCTTCAGAAAAGAAAAAAGACAGGAATTTGCAAATAGGAATTAATAAAGGTTTATTATTAAAATCTTTGCAATGAACAATGATCACCCTCACTGATTACCAAAAGACTTATACTACATCAAATGTTTCAAACAACCTCCAAAACTATAGCATTTTTTATTTTGAAAAGCTAGTATAAATAGTCAGGGTTAAAAAAGCACTTGTGGGTATTGGTTCTCCACATAACTGGGGACGTGGCATCCTTTGCATGGTACTGGAAGGTGTCCCTCTTTTTTATCTCAGAAGTCTGGAAGGTATAAGTGACCAATGAAAACTATTCATTCTCAGCTTGCAGCCATGTGAGTCTGTTTACAGCAGTTATCTACTGATGAAAACAACTGAATTTAAATTGATCTAAAAAAAATAGACAGGAAATTCCACGCACAAATCTGTTGCACATTTTACTGCGAGTCATACCTTCAGTAAACCCTCTTCATCTTCATACACACCAGACACCCACTAATCCTAACATCAATGAGGACAATTCCTTGAGATTCATTTGTATCTGAACCTACACACAGACACTCAAGGAGATGCAACAAGGGAGTGGAAAGCACAGTAATCCAAAGCAAAAAATCAGCCGTTAATTACCAGCCATCTGACATCACTGGTACAATGCAATTTGATTGGTCACTGTTAGTAAGTCCATATGGCACTATTTCAGGTTTGGCCTTGGACTGCATACCTGAATCCATATTCATTCTGTTGATGCTTTCAGCATCTAACTACTCAGAACTACTCGGTGCCCTTTAAAAACTATCAAATGACTTTAAATGTGTATTTCAAACACAAATCTGCATAGTAATAAAAACCCTTTAAAAGTCTATTTAAAAGATGACATATTATCCTTCCCTGGGGG